AGCCATGCTAGATCTCAGAGGTCAAATCTTTCGATGCCGATTGCGTGTCTGTCCGCACCCTCAAGAGATTCACCGCTCTCCCCACTAGGCGATTTCTCCCTTCTTCGACCTTCGTTCTTTCCGTGCAATCCTCCTTTAAACGCCCTTTCGGGCTTTTCCCAGGTGAGTTTTCTTTATAACTTCACTTCAGATGTTTTCCAATAGGGCCTGTGTATCCTTTAGTGCCATTAGTATTGAAAGAAGCAGACCCTGCTGGGACTGTTGCTTTAAGCTCTTCAATAGAGCCACAAGTTCAACAGAGAAGTCGAATGGATCCGCATGCGGACTGAAAGCAGGCCACAGGTTCATCGCCAGAAAAAAGAACCGATACTGGTCTCGAAGAAGTGGAACGTTTTATTTGTCCATGAGCCGGAGCCCATTCCTGTAGAGAGATAAAGTTTTTATGATTCTACTTCCAGGGGCTTTTATTGAACGACTGGAATTTGTCCGTTAGGTAGACGATAACTTCTGATTCCGTGCTTGATCTTCACTATTTTTTGAACAGATTTTTGAGGACTTGAGAGCTCTTTGGCACTCTTCTTCAAAATCCAGTAATCTTTTTGGTCGTTCCTCTTTTTAACAGTTCACTGCACCCATCAGGCGCTGGTACGCTGCTCTCATTCCCTCGGGTTCAACTGAACCTTTCCTGCGGAAGGAACTGAAAGTGGAAAGGACAGCAGGAGAAATCATTGGAAAAGGCCTTAACCTTCAGTAAGTCGGATGTGGTACGATGGCGAGACAGGGCGATCAAAGAAGACAAAACACGCGAGAGAGCACGCCGTTCGAGCTGATCTCTATATCAATCGCGGTGGGTGGGAAGCGTTGCAACGGGGTCGATGGTTGCAGGCCCGTAAGGATTAGCGCCCTAATCGCGCAATTTGGGCAACGAAGCTGGCATGATCTATGAAGGTACGGACTTCCGGAAATTCCCTCGCTTCATCGGGCTGATCCCGGGGATTGCCTTTAATATAGTTTATCAAAATGTGGGCTCCAAGGTCCTATGTGGTCGCCGAACTCAGACAAAATAGCTACCAAGGCCTTGGATGTCCTTGCTAGGGCCGCAAAAGCATAGAACTAATCTTGGAAGATCTTGAAGACATAATTTCAGGTTCGACCCTGCTACTAACGAGTGGTCGAGTGACGTCGCTGTAATGTCCACGGGTCGGGATTCACTTGGCGTGGCTGCACTTGACGGCTTCCTTTATGCGGTGGGCGGCACTGATGGTAGACACCGTTACAACCTTGTTGAACGGTAAGCGCGAAGCTGACTCGATCACGCTCATGTTTGCATCAACACTTTTGTAGCTACGACGTACGACGAAACGAGTGGATCCGCATGACACCCATGAATACACTAAGAAGTGGACTGGCCGTATCTGTGCTTAATGGCTGCTTATATGCTGTGGGAGGAGGGGATGGAAGCTCAATTTTGGACACTGTCGAAAGGTGAGTCGCACGTTTGATAATACGACGACGACGTGACGCCACCCGTGAAAAGTGTGATTAATGCTGTCTGAAATGTGCAGTCAAGTGTCTCTTTTTTTTGGCCACCCCTGTATGCTTTCCCGACGCATAATTTTTTTCCTCTCTCTGTCGTTATAGCTGTCTTTGAACACTCAATATGACAGCCTCTTTGACCCGATCATCTTGGCGGCTATTGTTGCCGATTCCACGAAGTGCAATGGTCGTAGGAAGTGACATTCGAAGGTAATAACGAATTCTTGCATGATTTGGCGGGGTGGCATTCGATAGCTTCTTTGAGATCGTTTTTTCGCCGTTGTCGATACTTCTCTTGTTCGAGAGTTCAATTTGTCTTCGATAGCTCTAGAACCACCTATTTCAACGGTGCTTCAAGGCCAAAGGTCGCCTAGATTTTTAGGAATTCTTGAGCGATGTACATAGTAGGATCTCCAATCTGAGGGCTGCTAGCGGCGTAAAGGCACGTGTCGGGATCGGTGTAGTGCGTTATTTTGTTTGAAAATTTGGCGAGAAATGCAGTGAGGATCACTAGCGTGGAGAAAAAATGGTGCTAATTTAGTTGGGGGGAAGGGGTGAACTCGCGGTTACCATAAGTTTGGCCCTCCCCAGAGATTTGACTCTACCACTACTCCTCGTTGCCTTTAGCTTTAAGAATACATCAACTAGTGGCCGAAACAAATTTCGATCCTTCTCCTATGAAAAAGGCGGAAAGCGGGAAGTGTAATGACGATGCAAAATCGCCCGTTTCAGATTTGACCCACGAGTTGGTAAGTGGGAAGCGGTTCGCTCAATGTTAACACGTCGAAGACGTTTGGGATCTGCAGTGCTTAATGGGTACTTATATGCAGTAGGAGGAGAACAAGGAGGAAGCAGTGCATTTAAGTTCAGTTGAGAAATATGACCCCGTCAAAAATGAATGGACTGCAGTGTCTACCATGAAGAAGAAGCGATATGGTGTGAGTTTCCACTTTTTCCCATTTAACATTAACTATAATGAAAGAAGGAGAACGAGTGTCGTTCACAGCTCGGACTGGCCGTGGTCAATGAAAAACTACTCGCTGTGGGTGGGAACGATTTCACTGCTGACCTGGACACCGTGGAGATTTTTGAGCCCGACAAAAATCACTGGAAAAATCACAGTTGCATGAATGACGGGTCAGTTCGGTTCAGGATTCACAGTTTTGCAATTGTTAGCATAGCTTTTGACTGTTTGGTAGCGTTCAGAGTTGGCGACTGTCCACGCGATGAGGCGATTAGGCGATTAATCCGTAAAGGTATCGATTAGTGGATTGGGTTAGTAAGCGATTAGACGATTAGGCGATCAGGTGGTCGCTCAACGGGCGGGATCAACATGTGTCTCTTTTCTTGTCGCCTAATCGCTCAATCGATAAGTACACTTCCTTTTCCTTCCGCCCATCCATGTTCATCGCCACTCTGAAACGCTGCTTATGTGCGGCTTTTCTATAGATATACACTATCAAAAATTATACTGAAATTTATGCGAATTGGACGCGTTCGGTGTTATCGGATTCATAGTATTCAGTGGAAGTAAAACGCGAGCGACCGAATAATCTGCCATTTTGTCAAACTGAAACGTGCACTTTCTGGCGAAATTCTCTGAATTAATACTTTGATCTGCATTTGTTTTTGTAGCACAGCCACAACTGATAATATTTCATCACTGTTTCTATGAATTCACAAAGGTTCGGGACACGATACTCTTAACTACTGAATTATTGAAGAACTTTCCAGTAAATAGCTATAATATAGAGCTATGTGTTTCATGCTTCGTGCGGATGGACGGAAGACAATGCGGAAAGCGCGAAAAGCGTCAGCATAGAGAGCACCTACGATTACGAGAGTGCTCAGGACGCGCTAGTCCAATGAGCCGTAGCTTCTCAGTAATGCGCAGTCATCTGTGTGACGCATTCTTCCGTGCAGCTCCGTCGTCTTTCGCACACTATGAGCGATTGGCTAAAATATGAAGTCATGATTTTTTTTCGGCGTAATCTATTCATCAGGGCGGAAGTGGTGTAGTGACAAGTGGCGCGCTTACCACGCGAGCGGTCCGGGGATCAAATCCTGGGTCGTGAGTCGCCCGGGCCAACCAAGCCTTCCATCCCTCCGGGTCGGTCATTGGTACAGACTTGGCGGACGAAACTTGAACATCGGCTGGCCCCCGCAAGTCATTGTATAGGCCACATCGCATTCAAACGCCACTGCGAATGTACAAATGGAAGTAGAATGCGTGCCGCATCCCAAAAAGGATTGATCAACGGCAAATGCTTTATCCTTTATCCTTTATCCTATTCCTCATTCCTTCATCTGACCTTACTGCCGGCCTTCTAAAAGGAATGAAAAGTGAGTGAGAAAGAGGGGAAAGCCCTTTTCTCCTCTCTCACACTCACTTTCATCTTCAAATCGAGGCTACAAAAGTCATTGCTTTCTTGTCGTTTCGTAGCCTCCTTATGCCTAAATCACCGCGAGCTCTCCCATCTTCACAGGACAGGGCAGTTTGCAATGCCGACCGAGATATAGTTCGACCTGTCGGCGCAGGCCACTCTGCACCTCTTTCGGCGGATGATATGCTTTAAGATTTGGTTAAATGCAAGGTCCAGCATCCCAACGCGGACCTAACACAGTCCGGTCACATTCCTTCGATGGATTACAGATTACTCCAGTTTTATGCAAAAGAAATCTCTAGGGTTTGTGCACAATCTTGCTTCCGCTTGTACACCTCCCCCCATAGCTTCTTTCCTTTCCAAAGTGGGATTGCTGTCGGCCGCGAAGTGATGCACCACTTTCCTTCCCCCACCTCCACCCCCCAACTTGAGGGATTTGAGGGAATACATCCCTTGTATGATCGGCATCAGTGGAGTAGAAATGTCTCGCTGTAAGGACAATAATCTGTCAAGTCCTGATCATCTCCCGTTAACAGTCTCTACTACATGGCTAATTTACTGTACGTGAGCACTCGCAGGCACGCAACGCTTTTGCTTCTTCATTAAGCTATCGATTTTTTCCACAGTAGGATTATTTGTGTTGATATTAATAGCGTAAATATTTCTATTATAGAAGGTTGGTGTCAGGATTGTTCGGTCGAAGGTTCAGTGAACTCCTTAGACTTTTTCTTCTTACTTTTTCTTTTTCTTCGTCTATTTAAGAAATGATGCGAGCCACTTAACGAGCAAGCCTAATAATTCTCTCAAGTTTTTTCTCCTATGCTTCGTCCTGTCGCCTTCGCTCGACCATTGCCTAGCTTTTCCGCCGCATTGCGCTTTTCTTCACTTCTTTGTATTGTATTCAACTATTTTCGGTTAATTGCTTTTTTCCTTCTTTTGCTTTGAACCTCAAGCTCATTTTGTGCAGCTACTTTTTATCGCCTGTGGTTCCGACGCGAGTAAATAAATAAAATAAACGCAAGAGAACATGCGATTCAAAACGATCTCTCCATTGCAAAATCCCGCAGCTTTTCTAAATCCATCAAGGTGAACTATTCAGAATGTCTGATTCCCTCTAGTGGTAGTCCCCTCCTTTAACACGTTGACGACAACGCGCGTTTTGGGTTTTTGCGCCGCGTGGGACCACGGCGATTTTGCAGGCGCCGCCGCCTCACATCAAATCCGTGAATTTTGAGCTTTAAATACCCAAAACTCGGATGCAACGAAATGTTTAGAATAGTATTCGATGTGTCAAACTTATCCGAAGGGATAACTGTAAAAAATCGATCGAATTGACGTTTTCTGGCGATGAAAGGCAAGTTTCAGTTGCTTTTGCTGCAGTGAACCTCAGAATTTATTTTTGACGCGGTTGCTCCACTAAAAACATATGTCTTGCTATATGTGTGGGTCTGTACTTACTTCTACTGCTCTTTTTTATGACCAAGATTATCAGAATATAAAGGAAACTAGGAATGAACACAATTGGGAAATTCGTAGGTCTTAGAAAACCTTCGCTAAAAGGAGCATCTTCAATCATTCAATGAACCTCGCCGTGTCTAGTCATATTGTGTGTTTAGTCTATGGAATAGATGCAAAAAAAATAGAAAAGAAGTAGCGCATACGCGAAAAAAATAATATTTTGTGTGTGCAGCGCATGCGCTGCACACGGTCCCACACGGTGCTCAAGCTGTGATGCGCATGCGCTGCACAATGTCGTCAACGTGTTAAAGGAGTTGAGCCGTTTACTCGAAAAAGCCGCGAAACCTCGAAAGGCAGAGACGAGATGGTCTAGGCGAGAATCGCAGCGCTATGCATGATTTGCGTCAATTTAAAGAATGCACAATTAACCCCTACATGACACACACGCTGCACTGTCCTTTGATTTCTTTTGCCCGGACGAGCGAGTCGGTATTCGGCTTTCACTCATACTGGACTGGAGATGGACACCGCACCACCGGTGGAAGATTTAGGGCTTCCAGTACACTTCTCGACATACTGTCGATGTTAAGTGCACAGATGGAGAGAGATTCAGATTCACGTAACTCATGACTACGAGAAGATATATACTCTGCCACCTTCGTTTTTATATCAGTTTATCGTTATTATTACACCTTTCTCGGTCGCTTTTCCGAATTTCCAGTGGATATGAAGACCGCACGTCAAATCAGTGGGAAAATTCCCAAAGGATGATTCAGGGCTCAAAGTACAGGGTTCTATTTCAAGTTCAAAAACAATGTTCTTATCGATCCATTGTCAACATGAACGATGCCATCGATTTATACAAACATAGTGCTATCTAACAGATAGCTTACCCTTCGGGTGTCTTCGCACTATTTTCCTGGAGATCATTTTAACTGTGCACTTATCAGAGCTTATGTCGTTTTTTAGATGCAATTTATCTTCACAAATTCCGAGTTTGGAACATCGTCACATAAAAATCACAGTAATGTGTGGGGAAAGACGCCTGCTGATATACGGCATATAGCTGTTTAGACGTCTGTTGATCGGGTGTCATAGGGATACTTACCAAGAAGGAGAAGATGGCGGGAATGTTCCTAAAAAGGGTCCAGGAGTCTGGGTAGCAGGTGTTCTAGGAGCTGCAATGGCCCGTGAGAGAGAGGGTCCAAGCTCAATAGAGGAGAGCAAGAGTAGCGTAAGTGGCTGAGTGAGTAGAGCCTAAGTGGCTCTGATAAGCCTTAGTGACTTGAATTGATCAGCCTTTTTGGCAGTGAGTTGAAGGAGCCTCAAATGGCTCAACCTAGATAGCCTTTGTGGCTTACGCCAAGAAACAGTTCGCGCCGTGCACCCGACTGTGGTCCCGTATTCGGTGGTCGCCCTCGAGCTCGTCAACTACGACTCGCCTCCGTGCCTCCGTACTAGCGATCTCAACCAACCTTACTGTTTATTGATTTTGTTTGTAAATAAACCTTCTTTATTTCTGCTTGTCTTCCACGCACAGTTCGAAAAGGTCACTACTTCGTGTCGCACCACACGAATCCAGGTTATCTAACCGTACAAATAAACAAACAAATAATAAATAAATACCCACTCCTCTTACTTGATTTTGTGAAGACTCTGTGAATTTGAGGCAATCTCGTTCTTTGTTGGCCGCTCCGAGTCCATAGTTTTGACCGCGACTGTATGTAACCTTTGCGTCCGCAGTGCAGACCAAACAACACAAATGTCACCTGCCTCCACAAAATGCGATGAGTTTGTGCCAACGAAAAGTTTTGCTCTCGTCCACTGAGGGGGCATGGTGCGACAGTTCATAGCGCATGAAGTAATCCAATTTTAGGTAACGAAGCTTCGAGGTGGGTCTAAAAGCGGAAACGAAATAGTTCACGCACCCCGGGGATTTCCGTGCCCTACAAAAATTACTTCTCGTGAGTGGCAGCAACTGTCACACCACATCCCCCTCTGCTGGATGAGACTCAAAGTTCTGCGGATTACATTCCGGGGATTTGAGAGCTTTCAATGCTTTTCACAAAATCCCTCCTATTGGAGTGAACTCCATTCGCCGGACCCTACGGGACACTTCAATGTTGAGGGAAGGCAACCGCGATTAGAAGAAAGCATCCGTGTTCACGGACAATACGCGGCAACCGACGGATCGTTGTAATGTTGTTTCATTCGCCTTCATTTCTGCAAGCAGTCTTCAGTGTTTTCAGTGACTGTCCCGCAGCTCCTCAGACATTATCGATTGACCTATTCGAATGTGTCATTCACTGGAATCGATAGATTCAAGCGATCACTGACTCATTTTTCTCTAGTATGAAAAGTTATTTCTTTTATAAAACTAAAGCTACTTGAGTTACTCGGAAAAGTTTAGTTATTATCAGAGTCAGCGATTCTAATTTGTTGCCCGAAGTAGA